TCCCCCGCACTGTGTGTTTTTGCTTTGAATTGTCTCTGTTCTCTCCACTCATGCATCCGTCTGTCTCGCCTGTCTTTCAGTGTCACCACCTCCTTGGGTCTGTCTGCCTCTCGTCTCTGTCACTGTGTGTCTCTGTGTCTGTCTCTTGCCATCTCTCTTTGACTGTGCCTGTGGGGTGGGGGTGCTGAGCTGGTACTCCACACCCAGCCCCTCCCCACCTGTGCCTCCAGGAACAAGATCCTAATCTTCGGGCTGTTTGAGGAGACGGCCCTGGCTGCCTTCCTGTCCTACTGCCCCGGCATGGACGTGGCCCTCCGCATGTACCCTCTCAAGTGAGTGCCCCTTGCCACCCCAAGGACCCCCTGCACCCTGCAGCCCTGGGCCTCAGCCATAGATCCAGGTCCTACCTTTCCTAGTGTCTCTTTCCTCCCACCCCATCTCCTCCTCCCTGTTCCTGTGCTGGTGCCATCCAGCCTCCTCCCTGTGCGCCCCCCACCCTGGGCATCCTCACAGTGGGGCACTCTGCAGCCCCCAAAACATGGCCTTGGTCAGGGCACCCCTCATCTACAGGCACAGGGTGGGACTCGTCTCTCAGTCCCTCCCCCACGACTGACTCCCTCTGCTCCTGTCTTTGCAGGCCCAGCTGGTGGTTCTGTGCCTTCCCGTACAGTTTCCTCATCTTCGTCTATGACGAAATCCGCAAACTCATCCTGCGCAGGAACCCCGGGGGTGAGGGGGCAGGCTGGGGGGAGGAGGGGCAGCTGGAGGTGGGAGGCGGAGAGAAGTGCTGTGGGGACTTGTCCAGCGCTGGCCTCACTCTCTGTATCTCCCCCTCCCCTTCCGTCTGTGCTGTCTCTCTTTTCCAATCCTTCTCTTTCCCCGTCTCCCGGCCTCCTCCTCTGTCTTTCTCTGTGTCTCTGTCCCTTTTCCTTCTTTCTGCTGCTGTCTCTCTCTCTGTCTCTGTTTCTGTCCTCCTTTGTCTCTGCAGGTTGGGTGGAGAAAGAAACCTACTACTGACCTCAACCCTACCACATCGCCCATCTCTTCCCTGCCCCCCAAGCCCAGGACAGCCCTCTCCCGTCCCCCCCATTTTGTATTCTGGGGGAAGGGGGCCCTCTCTCCCTGTGGCCTCACCTCGGCCCCCACCCCTCAAGGTATCTCTTGCCTCTCTCCCGCTCTGCCCCTCTGGCTGGCTTCTCTGCCCACCCCTGCCCCTGCCTCTCTCCTCTCTTTTCTGTGTCTGTTTCTCTCCCTCTCCTCCTCACCCTACCTCCCAGCCCCCTCCCTGGGCTCTTTTTTATTCCCCCTCACCCGGCTGATGCCATCTCTGGTTCTGGACAATTATCAAATATATCAGTGGGGAGAGAGAAGCCACGTGTGTGTCCTGTTTGCTTTCTGGAGCGGAGTGTGGGCGGGACAGCACGCCCCCAGTGCTGGGTGACTCATGCTACCCCAGGAATGTAGACTGATGTGAGCTGGGGAGTCACAGAACCTTGGCGTCATTGAATATAGAGTTTTAGACCCAACGGAAGTTTGAGTCAGAACAGAGGGCAGGGGTTCAGACTCGCAATCCTCCCATGTTGGAGTGGGACCCCAGGGAGACCCACAATGATGGTGATGATGATAGCGAATCACTGAGCGCTCACTATGTGCTCTGCCCTCTTGTAAACACTGTATGTATTAATTCATTTAATCCTCACAAAGCACAGAGAGGGGAAGTGACTTGCTCAAGGTCACACAGCTGAGAGGTGACAAATCTTAGAACTGTCTGACTTCTTGTCCTCAACATCATGTCTGTGAGAGCCATCCACACTGAGACATTATCAGCAGCCTGCTCTTTTTCAGGGCTGCACAATATTCCACAGATGGTATGGCTGTAACACAACTGTTCATCCATTCTTCTGGCGATGGACATCTGGATTGGTTTACATTATAATTTGTCTATTATAAATGGGTGCTGCTAGGGATAGGAACATCTATTCTAGTAATGTCTTCTGAAGACACATGTATGCATCTCTGTTGGATACATAACAGGACTGGGGGAGCCAGTTATGGGATGGACTGTGTTTGACTTTACTAGAAATAGCTAGACCTTCTGCAAAGCCATTCTGGTTGGGTGGCTGTTCCAGTCGTCAAGGCAGCCTTTCTAACACAAGTCAGAGGAGGGGCTGGGGCTGAACTGGACTGGGGCCTGCCTGCTTTCCAGCCTGCGCCAGGTGACTGGGTACTGAGAAGTCACATGATTCAGTGAGAGTGAAAAAGAAAATGGTTGGAGGATGAGTGCCTGAGTCTGAAAAAGAAAAGGCACAGGGAGGGGCAACATGTGCCACACACTGCAGGTGATGCCCAGGACATATAGCCTGGAACTTTCTGAGGGAGGCCACAGAAATGCCATCTCCATCTGGTGCAGATAGTACTCCCAGAGAGAGGTGGGCAAACTAAGGCCCAGAGAGGGCAGGGACTTCCTGGAGGTGATCCAGTAGGGACGTAACCCAGGTTTCGGATTGTGTAGGCTAAGGTCCTCCTGCCCTGGCCGGCTCCACTTCCTCTGGAGGTCTAAGAGGCAAGAAGGATGCCTCTGGCTGGAGGGACCACACAGGGCTGGGGCCCAACTCCCAGTCTTCCCAGGAGCCTCCTCATCTCCCATCATTCCCCTAATTCAGGGCCCACCTACCTTGGCCCCCTCGTAGGAACCCCATCTCTCACCTTTCCCCTGTCTCAGGGAGACTCCCACCTCTCAAAATTTCTCAGCCTTGGGGCCCCTCTCCCAGGATCCCTGTTTTAAAGGATCCTCTTATACTTGGTCCAGGCTCCACTTCCCTAAATCCCTTGATTTCAGCTTCCTTCCACACCCCACTGAGAAGGCCCACCCCCCACAATATCCTTGCCTCTGGAACCCACCGTCCACGGCTCATGCTGTTGAACACCTTCAGGCCTGCGCCCCATATGTCCTTTGCTCAGAACAAGCATGGGGTTATCAAGCGAAGGCACCAGGACTGAGTTTCTCTAAGGAAACCCAACCATCTCATAACAAGTCAACCCCAAATTTCCTAAGGAGGTGGTGGCTGGACCTTTGCATCCAACACTTTGCTCTGCCCAAGATCCACCTTTCTTTTGGGGGCTCTTTCACTGGTTACCTCTGCTGCCTCTACCACTTTGAACTTGAGTGTTGCTCCCCATTAATGCTCCTGGCTAACAATGTACTCACAGGCCTCCTTTGACTTCCTGAAGCCAACTGGACCAAAGAGGGGAATCCTGGTCTCCACTGATAGGTTGGTGAAGGGGACAAGAAGGGGGAAATGAACGCTACCTAGCCAATCCGAGGTCCAAAGTATACCTCAAAGTATGGGAGGAGCGTGAGACCCTCCCCCCACAACACAGGAGACTCCCTGCCTATTGCTTCACTAGCCCCTCTGTTAGAGAACATCTTGCCCCACCTTTTGGAAATATTTCCTGCAGGCCTCAAAGTCCAAGCCCAAAAGCAATGTGGATGCTGGAAGACAGAGTTGGGGTGCAAAGAGTCATTTAGAGCTCCCATGTGGGTATCTCCTTCAGGCGCACGCATAGAAAATGAGGAACCCAATCCTTGGAAGGGGGCCCAGGCTCCTCCGCTTTCATACACACTTCTTTTTCTACACATTTCTTGAGGCCGTTCTGGTGCACCCCTCTTCAGAACTGTTTTCTCACAACTTATTGGGACAGGGGCAGGCCACTGAGGAAGCTGTTTAAAGACTGAGAGAACCATGGCTGTGGGGAATTGGGAAAAGGAAGGCCCATGCCTCAGACGCCAGGCACTCTGGGACTTCCAAGGTGCCTGCAGCCCTAAGGTGTTACTGTTACATTCAAGAAAGCTGAACTCAGGGTCTCCCTGGTGGCACAGGAGTTAAGATGCAGCACTATGAAGCTATCCACAGCACTGCAACATGAGTTCGATCCCTGGCCAGGGAGGTGACCCACATGGTGCAGCAGACTTCTGTCTTGCCCGCTGCTCCCTTCAGTGTATTTCAGTCAACCCGCCTGTTCTGTTCCCCACTCTGTCTCTGGTGAATCCTTTCAACCCCCACACCTCTGGCCTATTCCCCAGTTCTTGTATGCATAAATAAATAAATCTTTGGGGGGGGGTGGGGAAGGTGAATCCTAAAAAACCCCCCACAATATTCACAAGGTAGTGGGAATGACATTATCATTTATGGAGCATTAGGAAGCATCTTTGTCTGGACCATGTAACTGAATCATAGGCCTGCGTCTGGTACCCGAGGATCCCCACCTCCAGATGAAGACACTGGTTCTGGTTCAGGGAGGCGATGAGGTCCTCGGAGCCTGGATGTCCACCAGTCTGACTCCAGAATCCCAGTCTTTTAATTGTAACAATTCCCTGTTTTAAAAAGCCTCAGATCTTCCACTATCCCAGTTTCCCTCCTTATCCAAAAGGAGTAGGGAGTGGTTCACAGGTTTATCCCATCCATCCCTGGGCGCCCAAGGGTTGTGGGGAGAGACTTGCTTCCCCACTTTAGATACTTCTTCCCCCGGCCTCTCATTGGCTTCTGCCTTCTGAGGGAGGAAGGAATAGACTCACACGAATCCTCTACAGAATCGCCATTCAAACTGTGGCTTACGGACCAGCAGCACCAGCACTAGCTGGTGGAACTTGTCAGAAATGCAGATTAAGGAGCCCCACCCCGGCCCTGCCTGCTTCCAGGTGTTTTTCTATGCCCTCTGGAGTCAGAACGACAGTGCTTCAGGGAGAGAGGGCATTGACACAACGCCCACTTCTGCCTTCAGAGCGCCCAAAACGCCCCGACTCCTGACAACCCACCTTCCACCGCAACTCCCACAATGCCCACAGGCGCCCACCGGCTTTTGCGCGACTACATCTCCCACGGAGTTTTGCGAGCCAGACCACCATCATGGCGCCCACCCGCCCTGACAGGGCCAGGACTACAACTCCCATGATGCCCCGCGGCAGAACCCCGCCCCCAGCGCCTCCGGAGCCGCGCCACGTCGGCTCGGCGGGGTGAGGCCGGGCTCGGGGCAGGGCCGGCGGGGTCTGCAGGGCCCGGGGCTCGTTACAGCGGTTCTACCCGCCTCGACGCAGACATGGCGGCCGAGAAGGACCAGCAGAACGATGCCGAGGCAGAAGGGCTGAGCGCCAAGTGAGCAAGCGGGCTTCAGCCCCCTTGACCAGAGACCCGGGAGACCTGCCCCACCCCCGCCCCCTCTTCCCTCAGGTCCCAGGAAACCGGCCCCTCAGGCAGGAGTCTGGCCCTCGCCTCGTCCCGAGCACTCTGGAGTCTGGCCCTCGGCCCTCCTCCCCCGGGCTCCGGGAGTCTTGGACCCTCCCCGCGCCCCACCTCCCAGGACTCAGGAGTCCGGGCCTCTTCCCCCCTTCTTGCTTGGGGGTCCGGACTCCATCCCGGCCCCCCGCTGACCCGCCCGTCCCGCCCACCAGGACCCTGCTGCCGAAACTGATTCCGTCTGGCGCGGGTCGTGAGTGGCTGGAGCGGCGCCGCGCGACCATCCGGCCCTGGAGCACCTTCGTGGACCAGCGGCGCTTCTCGCGGCCGCGCAACCTGGGCGAGCTGTGCCAGCGCCTCGTCCGCAACGTGGAATACTACCAGAGCAACTACGTGTTCGTCTTCCTGGGCCTCATCCTATACTGTGTGTGAGTGCCTCTCCCGGCCGCCCTTCGCCCCCGGCAGCCAGGCCCCCGCAGGAGGCCCGCCCCCCAACCCCGCCTGCTCCCTGCTTGGTGACCCTGCCCCCAGATCCTGGCCCCGCCCCGGCAGGCCCCGCCCCCGTGGCCTGCTCGGGCCACATCTTTTTAATGGAAGGGCCATCGACCTCGTCCCCATCGATGTGGCCAGGGCGCAGTGTGACCAAATGTGACTTAGCCCTGCCTGAGCCCAAGGATGTAACCTGCCATGCGCTAATGAAGGTCAGGGCCCCTGGCTAGCCCAGCTCCAGCTCCCTGACCATGTCTCCCTGCCCTCCAGGGTGACGTCTCCCATGCTGCTGGTGGCTCTTGCTGTCTTCTTTGGCGCCTGTTACATCCTCTATCTGCGCACATTGCAGTCCAAGTTCGTGCTCTTTGGTGAGAAATTCCCTGTCCAGATGCATCCCCAACCGTACAAATCCTGGCTTCTTAAAATACAAGCCTTAGACCCCAAACCCAGCCAGCCCAAGCCTAGATTGGCACTAGATCTTCCAAACCCAGTCCCTGAAGATTTCAGACACACCAGATGCTCCCAACCAGGCTCAGCTCCCAAACTGCTATTTTTCAATCCCAGAATGAGATACCCAAGAACCCACTCTCCCCTTACTTACCTCCAGGCCCTTAAGCCTATTCCTCACACTTCCTAAGCTCTGGGCAGAAAGCATCAGCTGCAGGTACCCACAATGAACACCAGATGGCGACCTTACCATGGCCTAGATTTGTCCCAGCTCCTGTTTCCCTGGGCTGGGACCCTCAAAATCTTGGCACTTCTGGACGAGGGAAGCTGAGGCCAGTCCATCACCCTGCACCACAGGGAAGACAAGCAGGGCCTAAGTCCCTGCCTAGGGGAAGCTCAAAGTTTGGGACAGGCGGGAGTTGGGAACACAGGTAGACCTAAGCCAGAGCCCTTTAGGGACCTACAAGTTAAGCGCAGGGAAGGGCCTGTTGGGGAAGCAGACACAGAGGAAGCGCCTGTAGCATAGCCACAATTTGGTTTCAGCCACCTGCTCCTACCAGCCTGCAGAGCCAGTCTTGCAGGCTTCTGTGAGAAGCTGGAAATGCATATTGTCATGTGAGATCATTCAGTTTCTTTGTCAGCCACAAATCAAATTCTTGTGGAACATTGTATAGACTGCAAAACACATTCACAAGCCCCACTTGACCCTTCGGCTGCCAGTTTGCGACCAGGTCCTGGTGTGTGTCAGCGTAGCTGCAGTCAGAGAACCGCAGTCCAGGGGAGTGGGAAGCTAGGAGGCTCCTTGAAGATGTGGGGTGAGGGGCAGAGAGCAGGGGCTGCAGGTGTGCTGTAGGCTGATGGACTGCATGGCCATCCTAGAAATGGGTGGGACCAGTCCTAGGAGGGCGTTGGCTGAGGAGTTTGGATTAGCTTTGGAGGCTCCCAGAGCTGTGACACCAGGTTGTCAGGAGGCATCAGGGGTTATTCTGGGAGAAAACGGGAGTATGAGAACAGCTGCCCCAATGTTCTCTGCCCTCCCCCCACCCCAGGCCGTGAGGTGAGCCCAGCCCATCAGTATGCTCTGGCTGGGGCCGTGTCCTTCCCCTTCTTCTGGCTGGCTGGTGCAGGCTCGGCCGTCTTCTGGGTGCTCGGTGAGTACTGGTTCTGGGAAGCAGGGTGCAATGGGGGCCTGGAGAGGGAGCATGGCCCTGAACTGCTGGTTGTAGGGGCCACCCTCGTGGTCATCGGCACCCATGCTGCCTTCCACCACATCGAGCCTGTGGACGGGGAGGAGCTGCAAATGGAGCCCGTGTAAGGTGACTTCCAGGACCGGTCGGCCTCCCAAGCCACATACCCCACAAGCCAGCTACCCCACGCCGTCACCCCTGCCCCGCACGGCTCCGCTGCTCCCAGCCAAGGCCTCCCCATCGCAGGCCTGGGAGGGATTCCAGCCTCGGAAATAAAGCTGTTACAGTTGTCATTCAGCAAATACTCTCCCAGGTTCTTCTGTGGGTCTATGTGGGGTGATGCTAGGGATACTGTAGAGACCAAGACAAGGTGGGGAAAGACAATGGGCCGGAAAAATAACGAAAGCCTGGTCAATGAAGTGCTAAGGAGAAGAGTCGGGAAGGAGATTGTGTCGGGGCCCCATAACCACCCTCATGTCTGTTGATTTTGGTGTAGACAGGCCCTGCCCTGGCCCTGCTGCATAAGAACAACTTAGGACTCAGTAGGGAGCTGCACTCACAGCAGTGATTATCTTGAAACATTGGCAAAGGGGACAGGCACATGGTACACAGGAGACTGGTGGGCTCCACAGAGTCCTCCTGATGGTGTCTCCTGGGACCCTGTGCCAGTTCCTCAGCGGTGGATTGTGACACTGGGAAGTGTGTGCGGGGACGCACAATACTCCATGCCGAGGATCTTTATCGGGGAATGGTCCCATGAGCTCCCCTTTAGTCTAGTATATACCCAAATTCCAAACCCAGATCAGCAGGTGCTGAGCATAAACAATACTGTTTGAACAGTGTGGTCACATGAGCCACTCTTATCAGGGAATGGTAAGTTCCAGATGCCAGCCAAGGGCCAACTATGCAAGCAGGCCTCACAGCCTGTTCTTTAACTTCTGCGTAGAGTAAGTTCTCCTCAAGAGTTGGAGATGAAAGAGCCCTCCCTGAGGTGATAGTAAGTCAGGGGTCAGGGCAACTGCACATTGGTTGGAAGAATGTTCTGGGCAGAGGAAGCAGCCGTCTGGGGCTTGGAGGAGGGGAGAGGCCAGGAGAGCTAGACTTGGAGGGAAATGGTTTCCTCTGAGTGAGGTGAAAGGGCCAATTTGCTTTTCACTGCAACATGAAGACTGTCAGAAAGAGACACCAACAAAAGACACACCTGAGCTAAGTACAAGGCAGGTAAAGGGAGGTGAAGATAGGGTCTGGAGAGCTTCCAAGGGGGTTCAGGGAGGGCTCTCTGAGGAGGTAACATTGCAGGGGGGCCCCCCCGAAGAATATCATTTACACCTCTTAACGTGCTTAATTAGAAAATATAAAATGGCATCTGTGGCTCTAGCATATACCCCATTATTTTTACTGACGTGTGGGCTGAGATGGGGAAAGAGCAGTGCCTCAAACAAGGGAGGCCCTGTCCTCCAGGAGCCCACATTCAGTAGGAGAGGCATGCCTGAGCCAAATCACCCAAGAGTAGGAAGCACCTGAGTGATCTGCCCTCTGTAGCCTAGAGGGGAGCTGGGGGAGAAGAGAGAGTAGCTGAGGAAGGGGAGGGGCTTGCTGAGAGTGGTGAATGAGGGGGGTCTTGCTGGACACTAGATTGCTCCTTGGAGGTTTGGGGGAAGAGAATTCCAGTAAGTGCAAAGGACCTGAGGTCGGATCTGCTCAGTAACAAGGTGTTCCTGGTTGGGATGAAGGGATTGGGGAGCAGCTATAGGAGATGGAGGTGGGTTCTGGGGGGCCAGATCTCTCCAGACCAGCAGCCTCGGTGAGGTCTTTGGATTTTAGCTTCAGGTGATGTGGAGCTGTGGAAGGGCTTTTGGCAGGGGAGGGAAAGATCAAGTGTGATGTTAGAAATGTCCTTTGGGGTCCTACGGGGGATGAGCTGGAGGAAGAGTGATCAGGGAGGATAAGCCAAGTGGGGAACAGGAGGCAGGAACCCAGAATGGAGGGAGGAAGGGACAAGGAAGCCCGCTTTAGGAGGGGGAAGGTGGCCATTACATAGGAGCTGAATGGGAAGGAGCAGGCAAGGATGAACCCAGGCTGCAGGCTCCCAGCAAGATCCAAAGACCCAAGGGTTGTGGGGTCTGGTTCCCCACTGATCTTAGGCCTTCACCAGGGTGCACTTCCAGCAGCTGCCACCAGAGGGTGGAAAAGTGCTTCCTCTGCCCTCCCCCAGGGAGGGAGCAGCAGATGGAGAAGACCCCTGCCTGGAGGGTTGGGCCCGGCCTTTAGGCACTTGGGTCTACACCAAGCTCATGGTCCCAATCCCAATTCTGGATGACAAAGTGTTAGGGGGAAAGGATGTCCTGAGCTAATTCCATACAACCCGTTTTGTATCGGGTTGTAACAAAAGGGCATTTTGTTTGCTGATCTAGATACCAGTGTTTCCAAGGGAGAGTGAGTCCTGATGCCCAGAGAGGGGGATGGTGGTCACTATGTCTATTTTGCTATGGCCCTGTGATCTGGTCAGGATGCCTTGTTTGGAGGTGACAGGCCTGAGACCTGAGACCCCGGGACTGAGATCACTGTTGCAAAGGGGTCAGCAGCCTGGGGCTGAGGGTGGCCACAGGAGGCTGAATCCAGAGCCTAACACAGGGGTAACTGACTATAGATTCCTATCTCAGATGTCCAGTTATTGACCTGCTGAGACCAGAAGCTTCTAAAGGTGGTCAAGACTGGGGGCCCATTTCACCATCGGTCTCTTCCTGAGGGAACTTGAGGATTGAGAGGTTTGGTTGGGGGTAACAGAAACTGGGAGGGTTGGTGTATCATCAAGGGCATAGAGGTTTGGTTGTCTATTTGGGGGACATAAGGAGGCTCAGCTGTCCAGTTGAGAGTGACTGGTGACCATGTTTGATAGACCCTATGTTAACTTGGGGTTCTATTGATTACTTTAGGGCTATCTGAAACTTAAGGTCCTCATGCCTAGTTTAGTGCTGACTGAGCTGGGGTGTCCCACATCCTGGTTCTGGAGTGAGCTGAAACTGGGAGGCCAGATAACAAGCTGTAGAGTGCAGATATGTATTTTTAGAGTGACTGGCTGTGGTTTTACTGACTAGAGGGCCCTGCAGGTTAATTTAGGGTGAGACAATGGTCTTGTATTCTAACTTGGGGACTAAGGCGGGGGCCTTCCTCACCAAATTGGAGGGCATTTACTCAGCTGTCCTGATTGTGGGGTTCTGAAGTTGGGGATCCAGAGACCTATCTTGGGTGTAACTGAGGCAAGTCACTCAAATGTCTAATTTGGGGGTGCCTAATACAGGCTGCCCAGAAGGAATGACCAACTGGGACTCTCAATGTCATCTTGGTGGCTCATACCTTGGGGAGCCTAGATGCAAGGATTAGGGGTGGCTTAATGTGGGGACTTATAACTAGCTCAGGGATGCACTAACCTCAGGTCCGGATGCCTCCTGTTGTGTCTCAAGGTCAGATGTCTTTTGAGGCTGTGGCCATGAAGAGGGTGGAGGTCGCTGCCTGTGGGGGAACTCAGTGCTTATTTTAATGGTGATGGGGCTGTTAATCCCTGTATAAGGGTGGGGCTGGATGAGCCTGGGGGCCCCATTAATAAACTTGAGGGTGACTGTGAGCTCCTGGGCACAGTGATAATGCAAACTTGGGCTGAGATCTGGAAGCCTGGTCTGGAGAATAGAGGCTCATTTTGGGCACCTGATTGTGGGGGTCCACATTCTTAGATTGGGGGCTTGCTGAGTCTAGAGATATAGATGCTTGGGGGTTTTCCTGTGACTGGTAACAAACTGGGTGGCTTAAAGCAGCACCACTTATTTCTCTTGCAGTTCTGGAGTAGGACCTCTAGAATCAAGCTGTCTGCAGGGCTGCTCCCCCTCCCATGGAGGGAGAGGCTCGAGGGGGGACCCTTGCCTTGCCTCTCCCAGCTTCTGGTGGTGCAGGCCTCCTGGCTTTTGGCCACAGCACTGTCACCTCAGCCCTTCTCTCTGCCTGTGTCCTCCCTTCTAGCTCTTTATTTTTTTTTAAGATTTATTTATTTATGCATACAAGAACCGGGGTATAGGCCAGAGGTGGGGGGGTAAGAGGATTCACCAGAGACAGAGTGGGGAACAGAACAGGAAGATCGATGGAAATACACTGCTGAGGGGAGCATCAGGTGGGTTAGGAGAGGTCTGCTGCACCATGTAGGTTGCTCCCTGGCCAGGGATGGAACTCGTGCTGCAGTGGCTGCGGATAGATTCATAGGTTGTGTCTTAACCCCTTGCGCCACCAGGGAGGCCCCTCCTTTCTAGCTCTTATAAGAACATTCACCTTTGCATTTTGGGGCCCACCCCAGGACCTCACTTTGAGATTCTCCCTTTATTACATCTAGAGAGACCTTTTTTCCAACAAGGTCACATTAGCAGATTCCAGGGTTAGGACATGGACAGATTTTTTTTTTTGGGGGGCGGGCAGGCACCATCAACCTACTAATGGGGTGTTTAAGTCTAAATTCTGAGTTTGAATCTCTCTGATTATGGGGTTCCGAGGGTTTGGTTTATGGTAACTGACCTTGAGAGTCAACTCCAGATACCCGATTTGGGGTTTCCTAACTTGATTTGCATGCTTTTAGAGTTCTCATGGTTAGTGTACAAGTAACTGAAGTTTGGGGGCTAGAGATGTAGTTTGGGGATCACTAAGCTCCAGTGTCACAGAGTCCTCTCTTTAGAGGGGTCTGAGGTTGGCAGGCTAGCTGCATCATTCGTGTGTTCACTTATTGAAGAGGTTCCTAACACAGGAACACAGATGTGTTTTTTAAGGGCAGCTGATGCTGGGCTACCAGATGCCAAGATGGGGAGCACTGGAACCCCAGCTGGTTGTTTAAATGGCTGATTGTTTAAACACCTAAGTCTGCGTCACCGTCACCGATGATTGGGTTCAGATTAGGGGTGATGGGAGAGACTAAAGTGACTAATGTC